TAGCACACTGTGTGCTTTACAAACGGTTATGTATGTCAAAGGGGGACACACACAGTACTGACTTTGATCAAAACTATTCCACAACAGCTTACCATAATTCTTGAAGCATTAAGTACAGTTGTGGCCAAAAGTCTAAGAACACCATTATGCTTTTATGTTCTCTTTATTGTTGTTTTTTTTCCTTACTCTTTTAGCAATACAATCAGCATATTGTATATGGGGTTTTTTTTCAGATCAAATTGTACACGTAAGAAATACAAATGCCATATACAAGTTCAAATGGCACATAGCAAGTTTCACGTCACATAGAAAGCTCAAATGTTCGAAAGGATATTTTAGTGCACGATTGTGAGTAACAAATTCAAATGCACAAATAGCAAATCCAAATGTAACACAATAGCAAGTTCAAATACTACATAGCAAAAGCAAATATCCTCCGCAAAGATTATTCATCGTGAGAATTATTTTTAATGTGCTCCAACTGAGCTGACGACAACCATAAGCAGTATCCTTTTATTGTGAACTGATCACCATAAAATAAAATCCCGAGGATGCTCCCGCGGAAAGAAATTCAGATAGAACTGAAGCAACTAGACATCAATATTATGCAGCATGGCTGATGCAGGACATTTAGCGGTATGAATTTGCCTTCATCGATGAGGCTGGTATCAAGCTGTTGACGAACTGTGTTCCAGTAGTGCAGGGTCGAAGGGGACCGAACCGCACGATGACATTCGCTGTCAGTGCCGAGGGTGGCCTGGTCGTTCACGACTTGCAAGTGGAGGGAATGGCAGCTATCATTTCAACCCTTCCCTCTAAGAAACTGTTCCAACAATCCCCACAACGAAGTATGCTTGGAATGTAACAACGCTCGTGCATTATGGCAAGCTCTAGATGGCAACTCATCGATAGATTGGGGATGAAATGTCCTTCCCCCTAAACGCTTTTTATTTAAACTTGTTTATTTTCATTTTCATTTTTATTTTTATTGTTTATTTTTTGCTTCATTAAACAGTTTCGTTTGATCAAATAGACTCGAGGGGAAATATCTTGCCACCTGCATACCTTGTTTTTACCATTTTGGAAAACGTTTAAGGTTCATAATTTGGAAATACAATTATTTAGTGGCGTGGGTAGCATAGTGGTTAGGCTATCGGACCTGTATTCGTGCGATTCGGGTTTGGGGGTTCGAGCCTCAGTTCGGTTCGGCGTCGTGTCCTTGAGAAAGGCTCTTTACACAAATTTCCCGTTTGAATCGGCCCGTTGGCAGATAGACGTTGACCTCGGAGGTCCTGCCTCTTAAATAACCTACTAGCTATAACCATTTCACCATTGAAACGGTTTTTTTTTAAATACGATTTGAAACAGATGTTCGCTGAAGTAAGAGACAAAATGATCACTCAGCAGACTCGCCGACAAACGATGGAAACACTTACCCAGTGGATGGAACACAAAACCCAAGCTGTGACTTTAGTGAAAATGGCAGCAGTCTTCAGATTAATACAAGCCTATATGCCACAGCGTTTTGTAGTGCAACAATAAGTAAATAAAAGAAAACTTGTCTTTACATTTCATCCAGTTAGCTATTTTATATACACCAGCAGTTTGTTCATTTTTATCATTACCTTTAGTTTCTGTTTAAACATGTGGGTTTATTTTCGGGTAAAAAAATTAACAATTAGTTTCGTTTCCCGTGATTTGTCCCTTGTGGCACCACACGGCTTACATCTAACTTTTCCGTGGCTAAAACCCCCCAACCCTTTTACGTCTCTCCTTTATACACTTTTTGTA